TTTTGCTTGTGCATACTACCTACCACCTACTAGCGACGGCCTCCAACCTTAGCGTTGGCCTCCAACTTCCTTGCGATGGCCTCCAACCTAAACGCGATGGCCTTTAACTTACTACTTGTCCTCCTGGTATCTCAGGCTTTTTAAGCTCAGTTCGGAGTTCGGAGTGTGGCAAACCGCTTTCAAATCAGTACGCAATTCTATAAGTGTGTGTGTACGCAGGTACGTTGCGGCGGACTACCTGGACAAGTTCCTTCTGGACCGGTTCCTTCGGGACTAGAGTTTCCAGGTGCAGCGGTGTGTGTGTGTGTATGCAGGTACGATGCGGCGAAGTTCCTTCCGGACTGGAGTTTCCAGGTGCAGTGACAGTGGTGTACGTACGTACGACTACTACTACTACTACTACTACTACTACTACTACTACTACTACTACTTTTCGTACTTTTGCTATTTCCGGCTCCGGTGCACCACTTTTTCTTGCTGTTACTACATCAATGAGACCATTCAAAAAATGCCAAAACCCCTACGTACCACTACTTTTGCTATTTCCGGCTCCGGTGCGCCACTTTTTCTTGCTGTTACTGCATCAATGAGAACATTCAAAACATGCCAAAACCCCGGAGGCGCAAGAAGGCGCTAGGGCGAGCGCAAGAGCTTTTCAGCATTATGCCCTGCACCGAGGTTTAGAACGGCCCCAATATATATATAATATTTACTTTTAAGATACGGTAGACTCCTGATGGTTATATAAGAACAACTACTCCCAGTCAGATTGTCCAACCTCTTCAAGCAAGAACGGAACATGGACACAGAACGGACTACAACGATTGATCTCTCCATCGTGCACGGCGCGTTTCAGCCAATGATTGGCTGATTCGGAAAGAAGCACCGAAGGGCTTTATTTGTGTCCCTCACATGAAAGCAGTAAAGCATCCCACCACAGTCTCCAGGTACATTCGACGCTTGTTCCGTTGCTGGTCGCTTCTAAAGTTGATCTCATGGTGGGGTTGGAGGCACAAGTGCGGCTGATTTGGAAGTACTGAAGTTGATATCTCCACAACTCCACTAACAATATATTAACATCCCCAGGATAGGCATATATGCCTACATTGACCCCCTTCCCACCGACATTCAATGGACAAATCAACTTCTTTCAGCTTACCACGAAAAATTCCTGGCCCAATGGGTAGACGGGTCTATTTTCAGTCTATTTTCCTTCTTCCTTGTTTTCACACACGCCACAATGATTGCTGGCCTCATTTCAGGGAGTCCTTTTGTGAGAACGTCCTAGTCCTTTTCTTAGAAAACCACACCGGTTTTTAAAATGCCGGTGAGAACATGATCCGTCCTGGCCTGTGAGTTTCGACGTTTTTGTTGGTGTTCTCAAAAGTCGTCACCAGGTGTGGTTCAAAACCGAGCTACCGGTTGACCAGATAAAATGAACTGAATGGACTATTAAGGAGGTCAACCTACTCTGGTTTGGGGATCCGGGTTTTGACATGCAACCTGAAACCACCGGGTTGTAGAGGAAAGATGTTCAGGTTCCATGTTAATTTTCCACCCGGTGTAGCTCTTGAGGCGCCTTTGGAGGACAAGAAACTGCCTGATGAAGAGAAGACTGCTTTGCCACGGCCCTATGACCGTTACCACGAGGAGACGGGTGTTTTATCTGCGTGAGACCACCACCGGTCTCCGGTGGCAAGTTGCAACACGTCCATGTTTTAACACCTATGAACACCAGCATAGCTCGCGAACATTGAGGTCATTCTGATGGACCCGTAGTCCCGTAGTTCAAGTTTCGAAGAACCTGCGACCTCCGACCGCGGATCCTTGTATATCACAGACCCTAGGGCCCAAGGACAAGTGCTCAATACGCATAAGATCTCATAAATTCGGCCGCGTCAGATATGTCTGTCTGTTCTCCCCACCTGTCAGGTGAGAGGGTTGTTAGATTTCCGTCGTCCTCAAGACACTAACTCCTTTTTGCAACTTGCCTGGATATGTGCGCAGTGGCTCAATGAGGTTGCTTGATGTGAAATAATTTCACTTTTAAACGAACAGCTTGAATTTCTAACATAGACACATCCACAGCACACAACCACAACACACAACCACAGCACACAACCCGAGGACCCACAAGCAAAATCGAGAACCACAAAACTCCCGACCATGGCAACATGCTCCTCACCATGGCATGAAGACAAATGATTGAAATGTCATGGTGGGGCTCACTCGAAGTACAGTATGTGTTTAATGTTCTTCTTAGAATTTGTTTAATAATGCGTGTTTAAAATTCTTAATAAGTATTTGAGTAACGTATTTTCAATATGTCTTAAACATTTTTAAACCGTTTATATTTTTGACTTCTTCACCGCCCGGCCTTGGGCGCTCTCGCCCTCGAAATGTAGATGTCCGACTCCCACGTTCCCGGGGAGTCGGAGTCAGATCAGGTGCAATCATCCGATTTGCCCCAACTTGGTGTTTGGACCTGAGGACTGTGAGACACACGGGAATGTCTCCGAGCCACCGTAGGGAAATCACTGCACACTTGAAATTGGCTGTCACCATGTTCGCATCAGAATGGACAACATTGATGGGGTGGGGATGGTCAGTGTTACCCTGTGAAGTCGAAAGGAACTATGCCCGTCGTTTCTCCAAGTCTCTACTTGTTTACCCCGATGTTTATACCTTATAGGCCCCCAAACAACTTGCCAGGACGATGGGGCGCTGGACGTGCGGGAGATTCAAGCCGCGATTCGGAAGGAGGACCCCAGTCAAAACTTGGAGCCCTCGTCCAAGCGAACAGCCTGGAACCGGTAGGTCAACCAGTGGTACCAGTCGGTCTCCTGGTGACCCACAGGCATACGTAAACCAAGTAACGCTCAACCTCCCTCGACTCCATGGTATAGCTTATGGATGCTTATGGGCAGATTTTCGATGTGGATGTGCTTTTCTTGGTTCCAAACCACCAAAGTCCCGGTGGAGATGGGCTCTACATCCCGTTGATGATCGATCCTGCCAGACATGCTGGCCCATTGGCAGTGCAGTAAGATCATGGAATGCTAACCCTCGCCTGTCGAACACATTTAAGCATATTAAGCAATGAATTGAAACATGGTTGACCTGGTGTTGTAGTCCAATATCCTTAGCAAGACAATGGTTGTTTGGTACAGACTATATCAATGGTGGTTGGAAAGCCGAGGGGCTAACTTAAGTATAGGGGTCGCGCTAGATAACTATTCCAGGGGATACGTCAATGGGTGGAATCATTTTGCTGGAATCATTTTATTCTATTCATTTCTTGACAGGGGGGTCATAGGGGGGTGGTCAACGATGTACAAGAATCTGTTCACATAACTATATGATTTCAGAATTGATGATCGCTGTGTTTTCAATGTCTTTTTTCAATGCGCCTGAGTCTCAAGCATACAGACATCTACTGAAATGAAGATGAGTCTGAGTTTCATACGTGTTTCCCCAATAGCGATATCTTGGGGTTGTACATTCTTGAGGCGCCCGTCGGCGGTTTCCCGTCGGATCTACGGCCGCCTGGGCGGTGGTTGCTGGTGTCTCGGTCATGGCTTGGTGTTGCCTCGGTACATCTATTTGGGTTGCATCGTTTCGCTTGCAAATGTGTGTGTGTGAACTATGGGATTGCATTTCAACGTAACATGCATTTGCTTTTTGACGGTTGTGCCTCGATGTTCCATATGTGAACAATCATCGAACAACGCACGCCCAAAACATTCGCCAGATCTTGGTGGATGCTTTCCTATTGGGGTTGTCAGCTGTTTGATATCAGTTTGTTAGGAGGGGAAGGTCAGAATCTTTATCAGCAACCTACCTCACTCTGACACTTGTATTCAGTGAACTCAGTTACCACGATGGGAAGGATGGCGGTGGAACAGCATGGCGAAAAGTCCGAGAAATTTGTAGGTGTTTGAACAAAAGTTGTTTCCCTTGACTGCGGTGACGAAGCGGCTCAAGCTGCAGCGCTGCTGGGGAAGAAATGGTTTAGGGGAAGGTATCATGAAAAACCATGGAAACAAACCAAGCAGATTAGACAGCGTGGTCAAAAGTTCAGGTTGCAGGTACGTCGAAAGAGCGTCCTCTTTCGATATCCTAGTCTGAACCTGGAGCTTCGTTGGCTCACGCCAGGAACAGACCCGTGAGCCCCCTGCCTGGTTGGAGTGGTCGAAGGAAACCCTTTGTCCAGGGGTGGACACACACAAGTCGCCGGCTTCGGCGCTTTTTCAAGACACCCCCTACCGTTGAACCAGTGGACGAAAACCTTTTGCCCAGGGGTGGACACACACACAGAGCCGTTTTCGGCGCGGTCAAAGTAGTAGTAAGGCCAGGGGCCTCCAGTAGCGTCCTAACTCCCAGGGGAACATTTGTACAAAAAGCGCCAAATTGTTGGCGCAACGAAGAACTAGTAGACACCTAAAAAGCCTTAGAAAGACAGAAAAAGCAACGAAACAAGAGCAGACTAAGAGGGCAAGAAAGAAAAATAGGGTAGTTACGAGGCCCACTTAGTTAAACGAAAGTAGAAGGCGAGCGGGACATTCGTCTTAAACCGCCCGGGTAGCTAGCAATAGCTAGGAGAAACAGAAGGAAAGGCACCAACACACAAGTGTGTTGAGTGCGATTTCCTTCTGTTTCCCGAGTAGCGGGTGGGATAGCAACGGAGGCCTGGGGGTAGGGAGGGGGGGGGGTTGTGCATGATGAATTCATCCGGCCTGTGAATACTTAGCAGCGCAGGCATGTGAATACTTAGCCGATCCGAAATCTGAAAACTGAAATCTGATGTATTCCACAGGAACCGTTTTTTGGCCCGGCGGCCAGTATGTCAGTTGATTCGGTGAGGGTGTCGGTGACTTCCTGTGAAAGTCCAGTGAGTGGTGGTGCTTTGTGGTTGTTGCTTTCCCATGCAAAATCGGCGCCCCAATGACGGGGATCACACTCAGCACCCGAGTGGGACGGCTGAGCGAAACACACTCTGACACTTGTATTCAGTGAACTCAGTTACCACGATGGGAAGGATGGCGGTGGAACAGCATGGCGAAAAGTCCGAGAAATTTGTAGGTGTGTGAACAAAAGTTGTTTCCCTTGACTGCGGTGACGAAGCGGCTCAAGCTGCAGCGCTGCTGGGGAAGAAATGGTTTAGGGGAAGGTATCATGAAAAACCATGGAAACAAACCAAGCAGATTAGACAGCGTGGTCAAAAGTTCAGGTTGCAGGTACGTCGAAAGAGCGTCCTCTTTCGATATCCTAGTCTGAACCTGGAGCTTCGTTGGCTCACGCCAGGAACAGACCCGTGAGCCCCCTGCCTGGTTGGAGTGGTCGAAGGAAACCCTTTGTCCAGGGGTGGACACACACACACACCCAGAATCATTTATATAAATCTATTCCTGGGGGGTGAGGTGGTCCCTCCTCAACGCAACCCCTATACTTAAGTTGATAATTTAATTGGTGTCTCCATTGCTGCACTCCCTTGCAGTGTTACAGACGTAACACCTCACTTCGCATATGCTTTCAATAACCCACTGTCCTGAGTCTTTAGTTGAGCAAAACGCTCGTGAACTTTTGAGGAGCAAGAAGAGATCTCGGAAGATGCAAACCTTTTGGCCAAGGAGCGCT